CGCAAGCCGAGGCTCCAGAGATTCCTAGGCGGAACGCCTCTCCCGCGGTGGGCGGCGGATGCCTCGGGGGAAGGAGCGCCGAAGGTGCCGCTGAGCTCTCCGCGCTTCCCCATGAAGCCTCCCAGGGCGCGTCGCCTTTCGAAGCGCCCTTCAGGCCGGGTGCGGCCCCCGTTGCCGCTGGCCCGCCCGGCGCGCCCGCCCAGCTTTCGGCGGCCAGGCCGAGGCTCGCCGCCCGGACCGATCCCAAGCGACCCGCCAAGGTTGCAAAGGTGCGGACGGCGCGCGAGCTCCTTCAGCTCAAACCGGGTGCCGACCGGTCGGCCATGGAACGCCAGTTCCGGCGGTTGGCCACGCCGCACCGCCCGGACAGGGCGCGCCATCGCCCATTGTCCGCATCGGACCGCGCGGACGCCTCTCCCCTCTGGTCCAGGTTCTGCGACGCGAAGTCGCTCCTGCTTGGCGAGGCTTCTCGTTGCCAGCCGGGAGCGGGAACCCTACCTTGCCAGGAACGGGAGCACGGGACTTGCCGCGGAGGCGTTCGTGCGGGCCCGCGCCTATATGCAAGAGCGCGGCCGTGGCCAGACGGGCGCGCCGCCGGCGCCTGCCAGTGCTTGCAGCCCGAGCTGGGCGGAGCACGGCCGGATTTCGGGGCCTCCGCCTCTGGGACTCCCTCGGCGCCCTGCTCTTCGCGCGGAAGGCGCCATCGGCCAGCTCGTCCAGCGGAAACGGTTCGCGCTGAGCGCCCCCGTCGTGCGCGCGCTGCTCGTGCGCCCGCGGCGCTGCTCTCGGCGCCTGGCGCGGCCGCGCCGCCCCCGGGTCGTAGGGCCAGGCGCACTGCCAATTTCGCGCTGTGGGGCCAGCCTTGCGCGCGCCATCGCGCCGCCGCGTCGGCGGACGAGGGGCGTGAGCCTTTGCCTTCGCGCTCCTGGAGCCCGGGCCTTGGAGCAGGCGCGCCCGGTGCCCCCTCCAGCAGCGCCCGGCTCGGCAGCACCTCGAAGTGGCGCGACGCGCCGCTTGCGCCGGGGGACGGCGCCCGCGTTCCGCATACTTTTTCCGACCGCGCCCCGCGACGCCAGTCGGACTCGCAGGACGCGCCGCCAGTGGCGTCGCCGCGGGGCTCTCGCCGCGCACCGCCGCCGCGGGGCGCTCGCGCGAGCACCCGCTCGGCTGGCCCAGCCGCCCGCTTCGCGGCCGCTCCGCCGCCGCGCGGCTCCGGCAGCGACCCCGCTTGCGACCTCGCTTCCGGAGCTCGCGACCCGCCCACGGTCACCGGCTCGGCGAGCTCCGGGAGCTTGCCGGTTGGCGCATTCTCGGCGCGGGGCGCCAGGATCAGCATGGGCCCTCCTGCTCGCGCCGCCAGTGCGCCACCAGCATTACGCGTCGACGGTGCACCCATGCGGGTTCCTGCGGATCGATTGCGGCCGAACGCGCTTGCGCGCATACCCGCGGCCTCGGGGCCCGCCGCCGCCTCCTTCGCCATGCTTGAGGCCGCGCCCCGTGCCGGGGCCAGTCCGAGGTCTCTTGGCCCCGCGGCCGCGCCTCGCGCCGCACTTCTGTCGGTGGACTCGCCCGTTGATAGCGCGGATCTCCCCCAACCTAGCGGAGCCGCGCACGAGAAGGGCTCAGACGCGTTGGCGGCTGCGCCACACCTTCTCGACTCCTTGGAGCCCTCTGCGCGCGCGGCTCGAGGCCTGCCCCAAGACGGGGCGTGCGCTACCTCGGTTGCGATGCGCACCAGCCGAGTCGCTGGCCCAGCGGCCGCGGTTGCGCGGCGCGCGCGTGCCGACCGGCGCGCTCGCGCGCGATTCCTATCCTCGGTCGCCGCTGCCGAGGCCGCTCTCACCGAGGTTATGCTGGGAACAGGCGAAGAGACTGGCGAGAGCGCGGGAGAGCTGGCGAAGCGAATGCAGACGCTCTTAGCCGAGCTCGAGCGGCGCAAGGATGCGATGCGCATCGCCCGCTCTCGTCTTGCTGATTGCGTCAGAGAGGCCGCCTCCGCTGGATTCCCTGAGGCGGCGGCGTACTCGCCCTCGCCTGTGGCAGCGCCAACTGCCCTCGCGGAGGTGGACAGCGCCGCCGAGGCGGAGGCCAGGGTTGGTACGGGCTTGCACAGCGAGGCTGAGCCGGCGCGGCATCGCGACGAGAGTGCCACCCTTGCCTGGCCTCGGCGAGTCCCCCACCCCGCGCGCCGCCGCCGCCGCAGGGCGGCAGAGACGGAGCCTCCCAGCGCTCCCTGGTCAGGCGCTGTTCTGACTTCGGCCGGCGATCGGCGCAAAAGAGCTCTCTACGCGTTCGAATTGTGGTGCGCCGAGGACGCAGGGGTGGCGCCACTTCCGCTGTATCGTAGTGGGATCCTGCTGTCGAGGTTCCTCGCAACGTTCGGCGTGTGGCTGCACGACGCAGGTTTCCCGCTCAACATCCTGGTGCACGCGATCATAGGCGTCCAGGCACGTCTCCCTCATTGGAAGCCCTTTCTCACCGAGGCGTGGGGAGTGGCGAGGGCCTGGAAGCGGTCTCAGCCACCTCGCCTTCGGCCGCCAATGCCACGAGCGCTCTTGCGCGCTATGGTGGCAGTTTGTTTCACTTGGGACTGGCCAGTCATGGCCGCCTTGCTGCTGGCAGGGTTCACGATGTCCTTGAAGCCCGACGAGCTGCTGTCAGCCCGTCGCTGTGACCTTTTGTTGCCTTCGGATTGCCTTGAGTCCTCAGGCAACGCTTGGATGACCATTCCCGATCCAGTGAGCAGCATGTCTTACCCGCCACAGCACGCCTGGTGCTCTGACAAAGCGGTGGTTCGGGTTTTGGAGATGGTCTTTCGGCATTTGGGTCCCACCGATCCTCTGTCGACCTTTGGTCAAAGCGGCTTCCGTACTCGGTGGAACCATTTACTTTTGGCGTTAGGCGTACCGCTCGCCGAGACGCCAGCGGGGTTCCACTTGACCCCTGCTTGCCCCCGCGGCTCAGGCGCGACAGACTTTCATACGGCCACAGAAGATATTGGTCGTATCTTCTGGCGTAGTCGCTGGCGCCAGGCGTCTAGCGCGGAGCGCTTCTTGCACGACGATGCTTCCGCCGCGATGCTTTCCGCCTTGCCTGATGCCGCTCGGGCCCGTGTCACCTACTTCGATGGCGCGAGCGACTTCCTTGTCGCTTCCTTTCTGAACTGTGGCCCCACTGCGTGGCCCCTTCTGCTCGCGGCCGCCCGCCAAAACCTTGTCACTTCGCAAGGGCTTTGAGCCTGGGTATGGCTGCTACGGCCACCTGGCCGTCCAGATGGCCTCGTTGGACGAGGTCGTCTGAGGGCGCCGCACGGCTTGGGCGCGGCGCCCCGTCATCCTTTACGGGTCGCCGCGCGCGCGCCGCGCGCCCGCCTCCGGGACCTGATCGCTTGCGCTGCGTGCGGGAGAATGCGCTTCTCTATTCTCCTTGCCGCTCGCGCCCGTTCAGGTCCTGCAGCTTCTCGGCCCCCTCCCCCCCTCCCCGCCTTACTCAGGCAGGCCTGCGGCGCTGCCACGGCCACCTGGCCGTCCAGATGGCCTCGTTGGACGAGGTCGTCTGAGGGCGCCGCACGGCTTGGGCGCGGCGCCCCGTCATCCTTTACGGGTCGCCGCGCGCCCGCCTCCGGGACCTGATCGCTTGCGCTGCGTGCGGGAGAATCCAGTAGTCCTTGCCTGATGGCATCAGTTTGAAATAGGTCGGCAGAGCCACAATAGGGGGACGTGGAAGGCTCTCGAGGGGTGGCCCCAGGGGATTAACACGTTCAACTGTGTTACCTGGTGTTTGCGGGGCCAATCGTACTCGGCGGGCTGCCTTACCCTCTAGGGGTCAGTGCGGCCGGCGAGCCGAGTGCTGGTGCTCGCCGTGCATGGGCCCCTGCCAGGTCCCGGTGGCCGTTTCTCCTCGAGTGTGCTTGAGCCTCTTGCACTTTGAACCTGTGGCGGCGCGACGCCCAAAAAGAGGAAGCCCCAAACATGTAACATAACACCCTCGGGGTTGGGCGTATGTTTGGACCTCTTAGGCAAAGCGCCGCCGTCGAGCGAGCAGGTGATATAGTGCTCGCCCGACGGGCCTCGAGAGAGCTCAGGGTGAACACTCCTTCGCTCGATCGTTCCGTAGGTGTACGGCTCAAGCGGCCCTCCGTCCATCCCCAATTCTGCCACCTTTTAGGTCAGGCTCTCGAGGGGTGGCCCCAGGGGATTAACACGTTCAACTGTGTTACCTGGTGTTTGCGGGGCCAATCGTACTCGGCGGGCTGCATACACTCTTGGGAGGTCAGTGGCGGCCGATGGCAATTTTGGCGGTCTCGCTTGCGTTGCTCACGGACCTTGCATGATGTGCGTTGCTGCGCCGTTATTCGTATGGCCCCATGCCAGTGTCCCGTGACCATGTCTCCCAGCGAGATGTGCTTCGAAGGCTCTGGCACTCTTTGACTGGTGATAGTCGAGCAGCGACGCCCGACGTCGATGAGAATGCACCAACATCGGAGGTTGCCTCCTCCGCTCTTCAGCCTTTCCGCTTGGCGCCACCTTTCCCTCCCAGGAGCTTGTTCGCAATTACTGGTCATTATGCTCGCTTGCTTAGCTGTTATTTCAGGTTTCCATCATCTGTATTCATCAACAAGCTGATCCTCTTCTGCTCTACTACAACAACATCCACACATACCATAAACATCCGCACCCTCCTCCAGTGATGTCCTCCCCATCCTCTTCTTCCTCGTCCTCCTCCTCTCCCTCTTCCTCCTCCTCCTCCTCCTCCTCCTCCTCCTCCTCCTCCTCCTCCTCCTCCTCCCTCCTCTTCCTCCTCCTCCTGTGCACGCAGCTCCCCTTTTTCCAATTGCGCATAACACGAAGTGGTCTTTCTGCGCGAGTCGACGGTCGGCTATGACACGCGTCCGCAAATCGAGAAAAAATCAGCGCCATGGGAAGGGATGGGAAGGAGGGATGGGATGTCAGATGAGGCGCGAGCGCACCTAGCTTGCCTCCCTAACCTCTCCCCTCCCCCCGCCTTGCTCTCACGGAGATTGGTTGCGCCAATGCTGCCAGTCCTGCTAAGCCCCCAGAAGGTTGGTGGAGTGGGCGTGCCATTTTGTGTTGCTCCCGAGGCGGCCTGGCGCGCGCGAGCTCGGAGGCCTCCCCATCGGACCCCAGCGACAGGAGCAGGTCTGATGGGCAAATTTTCCACCACCCATACCATAGGTCCTCCCTCCTCCTCCTCCTCCTCCTCCTCCTCCTCCCTGGCTCCTTCCTCCTCCTCCTCCTCCCCTCCTCCTCCTCCTCCTCCTCGCCCCTCCCCCTCCCCCTCCTCCTCCTCCTCCTCCTCCTCCCTCCTCCTCCTTCCGCCTCCCTCCTCCTCCACCTCCTCCTTCTCCTCCTCCTCCTCCCTCCTCCTCCTCCTCCTCCTCTTCCTCCTTCCTCCTCCTCCCTCCTCCGTCCTCCTCCTCCTCCTCCTCCTCCGCCGCCTCCTCCTCCTCCTCCTCCTCCTCCTCCCTCTCCTACCTATGGTAGTGGTGGTGGTGAAAAATCGGCCCAGCAAGGTCCTTGGCGCTCGGCATCGTGGTCAGCACCCAGCCAATGCGGCCTGTCCTCGCCGCGGCGTCGCCTTTGTCGCCTCTGCTGGTGCAGGCTCGGAGGACGCCATCTGTTGACCCGCACCGGAGCTGGCCGCGCCGCTTCCAGGCCCAGGATCGGCGTGAGCCGCGACCTCAGTGCTCAGCCAGGACTGCGTGCGCGTCGATCCCAGGCCCGAGAATGGCCCAGCCAAGACCGGTGTGAGCGTGCAGTTGGCGTCTTGGGCGTCGCGCAATGGGAGGGCGATGGATGGGGTCGCAGGGAGGGCTGCAGAAAAGGGGCCCTTCAGGGCCCCTGAAGGCCCTTCAGGACCCTCTGGGGGACCTCCAGGGTCCTAAGTGCACCCTTCTGTCTCCCCATTTATCGCCCCCACTAACCGGCGCCCAAGCGTCATTCAGGCGTCGCCCTCGCTCGACCGCGAAGGGGCGTCCCCAGCAGCCAACGGCCAGCGACGAGGGTCGGCGCCCGCGCTCGTCGACTGTTCCGCCGCGCCCGTGCAGTCGCCACTCAAGAAGACCTCCAGGGCCTCTTGGGCGGATCTGCAGGACGATCTCGACGGCGGGTGCAGCGAGGCCTCCACGGAGGCGGCGGGCTCCTCAGCCTCTGCCTCCTCCTCCTCCTCCTCCTCCTCATCCTCCGCCTTCTCCTCCTCCTCGTCCTCCTCCTCCTGCTCCTCCTCCTCCTCCTCCTCCTCCTCCTCCTCCTCCTCCTCCTCCTCCTCCTCCTCTGTATCCGTTTTGACTCAGCGATTGAGAAGGCACTTGGTATCTGTCGGCCCATTTGTTTCTGGTCGCGCGGGTTCCCGCGCAATTATTTCACGTCACCACACCAAGATGGCCCGCAAAGGCGAGTTCTCATGGTACGAGCGTGAAACATGGGCTTGCAAGTTCAGAATCATGCGTAACGGCGGCTAGTGTGCAAACTGTAGGGATTGTGCGGATATGTATCGCAACAAAACGGCACCACCATGGCGTAGTTCAGCCTGGTGCAACGACCCTATCGACATCCCTCCCCTTCGGAAGGATTCGGACCCGTCGGCGCTCCTCAGGCAGCTCGCTCCCCTTTTGCAGATCGCGTCGGAGGTCGAGGTGCGGGAGAAAGCTCAGAAGAACTACCAGGCGACCATCGTGCGCCCCCAGTCCGCACAAGAGGCGCACACGTCTACGGCCCGCGAGTTCAGGTGAAAGTCTGACGCCCTCCAGAAGGCTGCCCGCGCATAGACCGAAGCAGAGAGTCGCCTGGAGCAGTCACGTGCAGCTACGCAGGCGGCCTTACAAGCCCATGCGAAGGCCAAGGTTAATCACGATGCAGCAGTGGATCGGGTCGCGGCGGAAACCGGCATTCGCCGCGCACCTCAGGGCTACACTTTCGATGGGAAGCGGGTTGTCTTTGCTGTTGACGACGCGCTCTTCAGCGGCATCGGGTCGTTCAGTGAGGAGGAAGAGAAAATACTCGCAGAGCTGGAGGCCACGATCAAGGAGAAGTGCGACCAGGTCTCTGCGATCCAGGCAGCGGCCCACGAACAATTCGCGAAGGCCCGCGAGGTCCGCCCAGGCGCCACGAAGCGCACGCGAGTCAATGAGAGTGGGCGAGCCGCTGCGGGATCGGGAGCTGAGGCGGCCTCGCCTCGGCCCCTTGCACCAGCATCTACCTCATCCTCCGAGGAAAGCGACGACCAGATCAAGAAATTTGCCACCGACGCGCACAAGTCCGCCTTCGACAGGAGCGCCAGAAGGTTGTGCACGCAGCCAAGTCTCGCGGCAAAGGTGTTGCGGGTAATGCTGGCGGCGTTGGTTCTTCGGGCGCAGTATCCTCCTCGGGCGGTGACGCGTCTCTTGCTTATCGTGGCCATCCATCGCCGGCCTGAGGCGCTTCTCCCCCTTCCTCTGCTACCTCGACGCTCGTGAATGGCGGGCCTGGCAGGACCTCGGCCGCTTCGGCGGAAGCTCAGGGGAAGGTGGGCTTCCAGGTTCACAGCGACACCGGTGATCTGCGAGGCGGGTTGGGGACTCACGTTCGCCCTCGTGCAGCGCAGGTGGGAGGGCGCGGCAGCTGTGGCATGTCCTTTCAGTTGGATCAGGGCAGCAAGGGCGCACCCAGCGATGCGCCTAGACAGGAGGCCCAGAGTACTCTTGCAGCGGAACAAGCAGCACGACTTTCTCCGGTAGCATCTCCGAGCGGGGCCCCGCAGCCAAGGACATACTTCATGCGCATGCAGGCGTATCAGTCCGACATTATCGGATTCGCGGACACTCATCTCTTGAGAGAAATTTGCGCGCACTCCAGTACCGACGGCGACGACGTCGATCGAGGCGCGGAGAACATCTGAGAAGGAGCACACCAAGAAAGATTGTTTTCACGGGTTCTGTCCCATGACGCGGCACACCAGAGCAGGCCATGTCGCGGTCGCGCCCTATCGCCTCTTCTCCGGCCTTCGGTTTCGAGGACTCCATGAGCAGACGCTGGTCAGGTTGGCTGACTTTCTTCGGCTGCTCCGCGACCCTTGGCGTCTCGTGGGCCATTGGAACGCCCGGCCCAGGAAGTGGCCGCGCACTCCTTGGATTTCCAAGCTGGAGCTGGGCGGCCAGACTGTCATCCCATTTGACGGTGCCGCCGCGCACTGGCGCGCCGATCGATCGCGCCATCGCGAAGAGGGGGCTGCGCGACCCCATCGGTCTCAGCATTTTTCCTTGCGCCCCGCGGAAGATTCACGCGGGCGCGCGTATCTCAATTAAGCATGGCCAGAAGGTTCGGCGGCACTGGCGCTTGCTAACGGCCGAGGATCTCCCGGCGATGCCGAGGCCCACCACGGCTCCAGATCCGATTGGCAAGAGACAGTTGGCGACGTTGCGTCCACGGATGGGCGCGGGCAGAGACCGGGGCCTCCCCTGCGCCGGGAGTTCGACGCCGCCCACCAGGATCTCCACCACGAAGGTCGCGAGCCCAGCGGTTGAAGACCCCAGCGGCCATGGGGGCGCGGAGGTCAGCATCGGCTCGGCACTGCGCAGGCGAGACCACTCATCGCCTTCACTTCTTCTTCCTCTTGGGCCGTGACGTGGCGCGGAGGGGCGTGGTCTCTGATTCTCGCGGTGGATGGGGGCAGTCAGTGGAGCGGGCTACTCTTGGGCGCCGCGGCATGCCCATCGCGGAGGCGTCGACGTGCACTGGACGGGCCCGGGGGCGCGCGATTGGCTGGGCTCGGATTAGAGCTACCCCTGGTCGCCTGCATCTTCGCGACCTTGCTCTCGAATGGTCGAACGGCGGAACATATTCGCATCTGCGCTGGCGAGGCCGCAGCTTCGCGGGCGCGGCGCTCATCGCGAGGAGGTGAGCGTCACTCATGGCAGGCTGGAGAAGCTGCGGCAACTTGGTCGATCCGAGGATTGCTTCGCGCTGTCCGATGGCGCGGGGGCATCTGGACATGCGACGCCAGCTCCATCGGGCGACTTTCGGACGCGAGCCCGGCGAAACGGATTGACATCTCTGAACGCTGGGAGCTCAGGATCGCGAGCAAGGCCCTCGCCAATTCGCGGCGCTCATGTCCGGAATGGGCCGCTGAGATGCGAGCGCCCACCCCTGGGGCGACCCGCCGGCGCGTTCGCGGCGCCCTTGACGCACCGGGCGAAATCACTGCGGATGCGGCATACCCCCTCTCAGAGATGATGGATTTCAAAGGTAACGCGCGGCGCGAAGCGCGGAGCAGCCCCTGATTTTCGCGTCAGTAGATCTCGAAGGACTCGCAGCACGTGCTTGGCCGCACCAGGAAGGAGGAGATGGAGGAGATTGCTTTGGATTCTCTGGATACGGCGGCGTCTTCCACGAATGCGACGAAGCCTAGAGAAACAGGCGTCGTGAGGCCGTCAGAGGTTCAGAGACTCCGTGGGGTTGCTCGAATCGAGTTCCTCCTCGTGCTTCGTCAAGATGACAAGGGGCGCGCGCGGCCAGCCCGGGCGCCCATGATGATGGGAGGGGTCGCGCCCAAGCCGAGAGGGCGGGGTCGAGCGCTTGGCCCCCCTTCCGTTTCTCGACGATTGCGGGCAAAATTCAGCAGCGCGAAGATTTCGCAATGGGCGGTGCTTGCGGACGAGCGCTGGGGCATTGCAACGCGTGGATCATCGGCCCCCCAGGCCGCGCAGGCCCGCTTTTTCATTAAATTAGAGCTGCGGAGAATTCAAGATATCACGCTCGACCTCGCCGCTGGACTTGGGGAAGTTGCGCGACGGCCTTGACGCATGCAAGTACATCCGAAAACTTCCCCCCCGACCCGCCCGCGTAAAATTCGGCGTCTCTGGGGATGGAGTCGACGCTGCCTGCCCGAGAGAGAACCCCCCCTAGGCAAATGCGGG